CCTCAAAATAGTACTACGGGTCTCAAGAGACCTGGTTTATGCCCCCGTTGTCGAAGGGGATATCATTGGGCCAATAACTGCTACTCTAAAACTGACCGGGAGGGAAATTTCCTTCCTACTAATAATAATCAGGGAAACTGGAAGAGGGCCCCACCCCAGGGCCCCAAAACCAACTTGTATATGACCCCTGCATCTGGCAGTGGCAGTGACCATGTCTCCAAGCCAGCAGCCTTTGCTGGATGTCAGCAGAGACCGAGGAGATAGTCTGGAGTCATGCTTATGCCCGCTATCTTAGAAAAACTACAGTATAAACAGCCACGGTTTTAACAGATAAGACACATGGTCAGAAAAACATAAAGATTTACAGTAAAGTCAGACTCAGATGAAGAAAAACCTCTAAAGGTTTACAGTGTGTTTAAAAATATAAGTAGGATTGAGAAAAAAAACAACAACAACATAGTGTTAAATAGAGAGACCGGGCGTTGTCGGCACACACCTTTAACAAAGAAACCCTGAGTCAAAAAAAATTTTTTTTTGGTAACAGTAAAGAGGTACTGGTATTAAGTTAAAAAAAAAAAAAAGGACCAAGGTATATGGAATGAAAAATTTTGTTTACATTTAAGTTCTATCTTGTGAGTCATCTCTAAAAACTTTTGGCCAAAAGCCTGGCCTCTCCACCTTGCATCTACAGAGTTACAAGGAGTGGGTACAGCTGTACCCCATGACTATAGCTCAAATGGAGGAATGATAAAGAACATACAGGACTTTTTAACCCTTTTAGTTCAAGGATTGGCTGGAGTTGTTCTTTTACATAGATTTCAATTAAGGAAGCTTCATTGCAACAGACTAATCATGACCTAGGGAAAAAGGATGACTAAAAGATGCATGTATGTTCTGAATGTATGGTGTGGCCACACCGGTATGTATGAGATGTGATTGTTAATGCGTGAGTGTGAACTGCTTATATGATTAAAAGGATACTTAAGTCCCTTCAAAAATAGTTCAGAAGCTACCTAGATTGCTTTAAATATAGACAAAAGGAACATCCAGCCAGTCTGTTAATGTTTTAACAGAAAAATTTAAGATGCAAATGAGGCCTTGTCAGCTAGTGAGAGCTCTACAGGTTAGATTTGGAAAGACTGCTCACAGACTTCAAATAATTTTCAAAAGTTATTTGGACACAGTATAGTTTACAATCTTTGAGTGATTTTCAGAAGTTTTTGGGAAATATTTAATGGATATGTCCCTTTTAATGGGCATCTACAAATAATCTAAGTAGTAATCCCAATTTACCTAGATGGTTAACCAAGGAGGGTAGACAAATCCTTCTACTGTTATGGCCCAGCTTCAACAGTTCAAAAAAATTTTTTTAGAAAATAAAAAAGGGGAAATAATGCCCCCAGTCCCCACATGACTCATCAAATAATACACTCCTCATTTAAAAATTTTATAATGTGAATGCCAGTGAGCTTCAGACAGATTCTGGCATGATGGAACTTGAGCAACCATTGCTCAGGTCAAATGGAGACATCCATGCACTAGACAGTGGAGAAGACCCTAATTTGGGGTCGAGGGCATGTTTGTGTTTTCTTGCAGGAAAAGAATAAAGCTTTGGCAGCTGTCAGACCATTTAGTGAGATGCATGGAGCAGAGAAAAACTGGACCTGAGACCATGGGAGCCTACCTAAGCCAGTTTGAGTGAGATCTCCTAAATCAGTGTTCCTGACCCTTGATGTCATCCAATCTAGAGCCCAAGAAAGAAAAAAAAAAACCAGTCGGTTCGAGATTTCCAGTTTCTCAACAGACCTACTACATCAACCTTCCGGACCCATGAGTTTTCATCGTGAAGCCAACAGAGAAAAAAGGACCCATTTAAAGCATTTGGACATTGGTATGGACTATAATGAGTGGCAAAAGCCTCTTTTCAGTATTTGAACAGGACATGGTCACTTGAAATATCAGACCTGATGGTTCCTGTTTCTGAAATCACGACTAGGCCAGTGTATTTTTCTGGAGAAATGCAACTTGTCCTAATGTGACAACTATTGTTCATATTTTTCATAATGCTACATGTGTAACATCAATGATTGTGCCCAATGTATCTGTGCAAGTGCACTTTCTAAATGCTTTCCTGAGCAGATCTTGAAACGATTGTAAACTCTATCAAATTGTAAATGTAAATCACATGCGGGTTACCCTTGTAACAGGATGTAAATCACGTGCATGTTACCCTTGTAACAGATGAAGGCTGGTAGAATGTTATGGCCCAGATCTGGTGATGGGTATGGTGATGGAGAGGCGCTATGTCAATGGGGGTCCTGGAAATGGTGGCAGTGGCAGTAGGCGTTCTGGCTTTATGCTGAGCTCAAACGTGCCTTGTTCCAGAGGCAAGAGATCCGTAACCAAGTATTGCTTAGCTTAGCCCATGGCAATCCCGATAGCCATGAAGGTTGGTTACAGATGATTTAAGGTTGGGGTGTCTCCAACGACGGACAACCTGTGGGGAAGACCCCTCCCACCTAAGACAGGGGTTCAAGGTCCCCCAAAGATGGGAAAGGGAGGGTGACCCTACTTGACCTAAGCCAAGAGTGCCTCATTTGAAAATAAAAAGGCATGAATTGTGGGGACACCAGACCTTGAACAGAGACCCACTTCCCCTTCTGCCTGGGAGTAGGCAGCTGTAAGACAATGTTTAGTAAAAACATGTTTACTAAAATCGATACAATAAGTTCCTGGAAAAGGCCTTCCCACGGAAACCGCCCTGACCTCGACCTTGTCCAAAGACTAATCGCACCTTCAAAACCCACACACATCCACCTCTGGGGTCAGAGCAGAACCAGCCAGGGTAGAGGAGAGAGCAGAAGCTTCTCTGGTGGGAGCTTTTCTTAGGAGGTTTTCTTGGACCTTTTTGGAGCCTGTTTAAAGTTTTCTTTATATCGTTGAACGAGTCTCTGTGTTGTCAATCCCCGACACCCTCCGCACGTTCTCGGACACAGGCCGTGCAGCAGACGTGACAATTACATACATAAATATTTTAAAAGCTGGTCTGTTTGCTATGAAAATAGCCCTGCATATTATGCACAGTGCAGTCTAGGATGTGTGTGGACAATAGCTTGAAGTGAGGGCTACTCTAGAGGCTCAGGTGAGATACCATCTGCGGTAGATGAAGAGATTTAAGATGTATCCCTGAGGAAGAAGGAAAAGGGTGTGGTGACAGACTTGATGTTTGTGGGGTGGGAATGGGGAGTGGTTTACAGGAAGAGGGAGGCTTTAGAAGCAAGGCTGAGACAGCCTAACTCGCAGGGGTCACTGAGTGGACAGGGTTTTCTTAGCAAAAGGATGGGAGGTAAAATAGACACAATGGTTTCCATGTTTTGTTGTTTTGAGTCTGAGATAGGAGACCATCTGAAAACGAGTCTAACAGGCTTTTGGATATGTGGTCTGGGTTCAAATATTAACTCTGAGGTCATCCATGTATAGGTCGGCAAGCCTTGCTAGAGAAGGTCAGTGCCGACAACTGAAGCTCTTTCCTGGTTTCTTCAGAGATGCAGCTTCCTCCAGCTTAGAAGTAGTGAGTGGGGCATGTGTTGCTTCCCAAACTGGGATGGAGGTTGAAGCAGTCTCTCCCGGTGATTCTGATGTATTTCCTCTTACCCTGTATTGATTTAGAGTGAAATGAGGCCAGACTGAGGAAGAGGAATTCGTGAAAAAGGAACAAAGTCTGAGAGGTAGATCTTGCTGGGAGGAGAGAAGCTCTGCAGACAGGAAGGAAGGAACTTTAGCAAGGCCTGGAAAGCCCTTGGTGAGAGTCGTGCTTTCTGTACAGAAATCCCATGGTGTGGAGACCACTGCTCAAAACTTTGAGATCTGGTACATAACACAATATCGCACAGTACAGGTAGCGGTAAACTATTTCTGAGCGACTGTTCTGTGTTGGAAACACTTCAAGCCTTAAACATTCAAATACAGCAGGGTTGTAATTGTAGCACTTCTGTCTTGGAAAATAGTGAATCTTAGCAACTTTTCTCTCCCTCCATGGCCAGTGTCCTAGAAATCACCTCTGTGTGCTAGCCTGATCTGAGTGGATGCCATGTCTGGGGCCTGTTCTCGGGAAATATTGGCACACGACACACATGTCTTCCCATGGCTGGCACCTGGTGAGACCTGCCCTGGCAGGGTTGGAACGCCATTAGCCTTTCTGGTTCTCAGGGAATTTTTATGCTTTTATGTGCCACTTCTTTTGTTGTTAATGTTATTTTTAAAATGAGCGATTTTCTACCTGCCTTTACATAAGCTAAGGAAAGGTCCATCTCAGGAATTCTCCTCAGACATGACTTGATGTCCCTTGTATCCTGCATGGAGAATTCTCGGTAGCACAAGTTGGTTCCTTTGACATCTGGTATTCATGGCTCCTGTGAGAGCGGCTTCCCCCTCAATGTGCCCTGAAAGCAGCCCTGCTGCGCTGCTTCTGTCCGAGTGTAAACACATCACAGGAAATGAACACGTCAAGAACTGGCTTTCCAAGAAGGAATGAAAAAGTGCCTGGCCCATTTCCACCTGGATTTGATGTTCAGTTTCAGGAAATGTGAGCAGCCATAGGGGTGGAGGCTACTGTCCTGTGTCAATGGCACCTTGGTCCCTTCCTGCTTTAAACTCCCCAAGTGCTGCATGCTTTAAAAACCGCAGCACCCTCCCTTGTCCCTAGGGAGGCTTCTGAGGAGAATCGATTCAGGCTTTTAACAAGTGAGGGAGGAGACTCCTGGTACTCAGGAGGGCAGCTGAATTTTGTTGTTTACAGTTGTAAACATGGGATTGCATAGGCTGAGGTCAGGGACACATTTTGAAATAACTGAAAGCCTACAGTTAGACCTATACGTAATTAAATGGACTCATTTTGGTGGCTTGCTTTAATATGCAGATAATAAAACGATGAAAGCAAATGGGAATACAACAAGGAAGTTAAGACACCGAAGTAGAAGAAAGGAAAGTCTTCTGCTTTGCCCCGCTGTGGTCTTTCCAGGTCCATTTTCTGCTTCAGCTCTTAACGATGCATTTTAAGGAGGGCCATGCACTCTCTGTCTCTGTACCCAGACTCCAGCAAGTGTAGGCTCAGCCACCCTTTCAGATCCACTTCAAGCAAGCAGGACAGAAAGTGCTCCCCATGGTTCTGTCTGAACTGGCTGACATTCTGAGCACACACTGGGTCCCAGGCTGGAGTCAGGAACCTAGAGGTGAGCGAGCATCGAACTGCACTTAGCAGTGTGAGACAGTCGGGCCTGCGAGACAGGATGCGGGTGAGCCAGAAACTAATGGGGAGATAGGGGGTCGTCGTTAATTTTGATGTGGGGAAATGTGAAAGGCTCTTCTGCATGCCAGGGTATTTGAATATTTGGCTAACAGCTGGCTGGGCTCTGGGAGAGCGCCTCTTGATTCGCCTCGTCAGATGTTCAGAGATAAAACGAGTCAGCCCGCACGCCAGCACATAGCTCATAGCCTTGCAGTCAGTTTTGAATTTAGATTTGAATTGTGATATCAATGTCATGGTGGCACATGCTTTGAGAAAGTACTTACAGGGAATAATTGAAAGATTCAGTGAGACGCTTCTGAAAGCCGTAATTTAAAGTTCCGCAGCCTCCACAGTACTCTCCCCATTAAAATTTAAAGCGACAGAAGCCCAATTATGGATGGTTATTTTCTTAAATAAAATCATATTTCTACCCCAAGTGAAAGATTCATCGCTGCCCACTAATCTCTGTCAGGAGAATCCATCTCGGTGCCGTCTTGTGTCAGCAGCGGAGCGGTTAGCTTTATCCCGGGGACAAAGGGGCGGCACTGGGCGAAGCCGAGCTGCAAGGCCTCCCCGGAGGAGCCTGACTTGCGGGAGGCTGATTTGCATGATAATCACCATTATGGATCCTCTCTGGTGCCAGCCTCCGCACTTAACCAAATGCAGTATAACTTTAATGGCAGCTGGGAAGCCTGAGCAAGGGCTGGAGCACACAGTTTGCAAAGCCCGGATGACGTCAAACGCCTTTAGGAGAGGGCAGCGCTGTGGAGCTAACCGGGCAGAGGAACTTGGAAGCAAAAGGAGGCTTGGAGTAACTTTAAAATCTGATAAAGGATATAACTTCGGGGGCGGTTGAAAGGCGTGGAGCGTTTCAAGTTCTTTTAACTCCAGGCAGATCTGTTCGGCAGAAGGAGCCTTGTCTGTCTTTCTAGGACTTCCGCGGCCACTGAAACCCTGGCACTGAAACAGATCAGTGGGAACTTTCCCCAAAAGCGTTCCCAGTGAGAAAGTTTAGTCACTGTCAGATGAAAGTCCGGAGCCAGATTTTTAGAGCATAAATCTCTCCTCCAATTTCTTTGGTTGGTTGGATTTTGCTTTATGCTGCCTTGTGACTTGGGGAATGTGGTATAATGGTAGCCAGAACAAAATAGTGCCGAAGGCCAGTTAAGCTTCAAGCACTGTTATTTAGGAAAAACATTATTCTCCGGAGTTCCTGAGACAAAGGAGCATGGGAACCCACGCTGACACAGGAGGTTAAAAGGTACATGTACATATTCACACACACTAATCCAAACGGTCTTGTAGACACCAAGTCGCAGCATTTCTGAAGTTTCACAGTTCGACAAAACCTTCACAAGGAGGCCAGGTTTCTGCTAAGTTTAGCAAGATTATGGGTTCTAGATGAAATCACATCACCTTTTCCCTGACCCGTTATGTGACTAGCCTCTGTAGCTCATTCTCCCTGCGAAGGATCCACGCTCTTGGTGCCAGTGGTGCCCACGATGTTAGACTCTTGCTGTAATCCATTCTCTCTCTTCACTTTTCGTTGTTTTGCAGTGTTGTTGGCTCTTTGTAAACAATAAAAAAGGACTCTTTAACACAGTGCAGCCTGGATTCACCTGCCTTGACTGCCCCAGAAGGCAGCAGCTTTCCCGTTGGGAAAATTCGTAATGGCTGCCTGGGCCAGCTCAAGAAAATGTCACACTGTTTCTCCATGGAGTAGGGCTTTCTTTCCTGCCAAGGAAAGCCACACGTTGTCTCTAAGGGTAGGGGCCACACTGCACATCTTACCAAGGTGGTCACACTCTGGCTTCCTAAAGCGATCAGACAAAAGAAGACAAGCGATCATCAAGCTATAGAAATCCCAGGTCGTTGGAATACTGAACACTACACACTAGGAAAAATTATACTTTCTATAAAGTAGCTATGGGGGATTAATTCACTACACATGTCCAGGGCAACAAACCTGTTGCTCACAATGGTCCTTAGCAAACTGACCAAGGAAGCTTGGACTGTCTAATACCAGGAAGTCAAGGACCTATTGAGAGTTCTGGCTGACTTCAAGTGCCCTTGCTCAATCCTCCTACGTCTTGGACTTGAAAGACAGGAAGGCCTGCCCTCCTTCCCAACTGCTCTGCTTGTGTCCCGAGCCCATTTCTTTGCAAGGAGTCTCTTTGAAAGGTATCTTCAAGAAAACATGAAACTGTGGTGTAGCTTCACAGGAATGTGGGAGTTTGAATTCTGAAAGTACCCCCTCTAAATATATATACACGATTAATTTGGGATTTTGCCAGTGTGGAAAAGACTTTTATATCGTGGATCTAGTTGCAGGATGAGGGGGTTCAGGGCTGCAGACACGAGCTTGATGGACTGTCTCATCTTTTCCACTCAGGGTCTACACATGGAAACATATCTGCATTAGAAACAAGAGCAGCCTGGATAGATCATGTGATGTATTCATTAATACAGCACCATGGAAGGGGTCAAGCAGCCTGGTGTGTTAAATCATTTCATTGCACACCGAAGAGATTTGAAATGGACTTTTAATTGTGATTGCTGATTCACTGTGGGTATAGTCCTTGATATGAGCTTCTGATTAGGTTAATTTTCTCTAATTGATGAATAGAACACTTAAACTTGTACGCTTGGGTTTGTTGTTATGGACTGGCAATTTTATATTCTGACTTTTAGCCGAAGTACAAATTATAGGCACTCCTTATCTATTATAGTTTTGAGGTCACTGTTCTTCCTTCCTTCACCTCTGTGTGGCTTCCCAGATTGGCTAATGGAGATAGAGCAGGGCTAAGTGACTATTAAACTCTTTTCCATATACAGTAAAAGCCATTAACGTGGACCTCACTAAATTCTGAATTTATGAAAATGAGGGCAGGGCTTGGGTTAAAGTTTACTTTTGCACCATGCCTGAACTAAAGCTTTACTGGGCTAATAAATAGTACAAATAAAACTGCAGGGGGGTGGCACCATTGCTGTAGAAAGCAGACTCTTAGGCCCTTTAGAGAAAGGCCTTGTAGGAGAGGTAATGAAGTAGAGGGCAGGATGGCAGAGTGCAAAGTCTAGGCTCCTTACCGGCAATGTGACCTTAGCTTCTCCAAGGATCCCCCCATCTGCAAAGTAGAGATAGTTATCTGCTTTATGGGGTGGCTCTGAGGGTTAGCTATAATGCATGGAAATGCCCAGTATGAAGATGTTACTTCCTAATGTTAGGTAATTATTGTCTTCCTAAAATACATGGTAAGCTGTTTCAAATGTTCCCCATTTTTTGACTAAAATAAGATTAAGTAGGAGTTCAGCAATTTTACCTGGGTTTGTGCTTTACTATTAATATTCTTGCTGATTGAGAGAAAGCCATAGTAGTCTGGAGGGCTTGTAACGAGCAGAACTATGCATTCAGTCAAACAGGGTTAAAAGGAGTTGTGTATTCCAGGCAAGTTACTGATCATCTTTCAACTTTTGATTTTTAATTTGTAAAAACTAGAAGCCAACCCCATTTTCTTCTGTTTTTGGTGCTTGAGACTGGATCATTTACAGGAAACAGAAATTTAACCAGTTTTGGAAGCTGTAAAGTTCAAAATCCAGGTGCAAGCATGTGATACATTTTTTTAAATTATTTTTATTGAAAATATTTTTTTCACATGATACATTCTGATTATAGTTTCTTTTCCCTCATCTCCTCACAGTTCTTATGGCCCTTACTAGACATTCACCTCCATACCTTCTCTTTCTCTCTCTTTAGAAAACAAACAGGCAAATAAAAACACTCAAACCAGAATAGAAAAAGAAGAAAGACATGAGAAACACACACACACACACACACACACACACACACACACACACACAAAAATCAGAAGCAATAATATAAAAGTCAAAGACTGTCAAGGTTAAAGAATGCCCCAAAAGGGTATTATGAGATAAAAATTTTTAGGCATGGGGCCTCCTCTTACATGTGGAGAAAACCAACCTTTCCTTTGGGAACAGTTGACAATTGCAGTCAGTGTGTGTGTGTTAGGAATGGAGGCTTATTTCTAGCTCTCCTCTTAATTCTTGCAACCCCGTTGGGCTTGAACCTGTGCAGGTCCTGGGTGTTGCATGCTGCTGCAGTCTCTGTGAGGTCATACATATTTCAGTCCTATTCTGTCTGTAAGGCGTGTTTCCTAGGTGTCTTCTATTCCTTCAGCTCTTACAGTCTTTCTGAGGGGAAGGATTTGATGAAGACATCCTGTTTAGAACCCAGTACTCCATAATCTGGCACTCTCTACACATTGCACATTTGTGGGTCTCTGTATTGGTCCCCATCTACTTCAGGAGGCAGCTTCTCTGATGAAGGCTGGGTTAGATACTGATCTATGGGTATAGCAGAATGTTGTCAGGAGTCACTTTAATGTTACCCCATTTAGGCAGAATAATAGTATACTGTTTTCCCTTGAGTTCATGCTTGTCTAGTTTCAGGTTCTGGGCCACCTGAGAAGTGTCAAGCATGGCTTCCATCTCATGGAATAGAGTGTGGCCTTCTAAACAGATAGTGGTTGGTGACTCCTACAACTTTTTGGCCACTATTGGAGCAGTGCATCATGCAGGCAGGTCACCGTTGCAGATGAAATGCTGTGCAGCTATGCTGATGCTGACTTTTCTCCCCTGGTGGCATGCAGAGTCTTCCCACTACTGTCAACACTGGTCAGTTGGAGGTGGGGAGGCTCAGTGACGCACTGGCTCTGCTCCTCCATATTCACCGAGTTATGTAGATGATGTCTTCAGCAGCACAGCCTTGCCATCAGTTTGTGGACAGCATTCGAAAATCCATGGCGACATCTGGAGTTGTTCCATGGGGCTTCTTTGGCCAATAATTCTATTAGCTATAATCCATTCCTGTCACTGGAAGTTTTACTTGGTGGTGAGAAAAGACTAGTTGAGGTCCTGCCTCCAACT